ATTTTTGAATCTTTATTTGACCGACCATAATAATAAATTTTTTAAGCTATTACCCGTGGGTATAAGGGTGAATTGGTGAATAGCAAGATTAGGGATACCAAATCTGATCATTCCAAATCATTTTTAGAAGCACTTGGAAAAAATGATAAGACAGATAAATTAAATTGCTGGAAATTAAATCAAGATGCAGATAAAAGTGTAAGTATTAACAAAATATTGTTGAAATATGAATATTTGCATGGGGTTTATATCTTTGAATATTTTTTAAATGTTTTCCTACAAATTCATATTCATTTGCAGAAAAACATAGCATATGTTACGAAACATGTAGTTTCTTCACTATCGGCAATGCTAGAAGATGATTCTATTTTGCAACGATTGAAAGAATTTTGTGACCATATGAATTTATATCCAAATGAAAGGCATCATGCGATAAAAGTATTAATACAAATGAGTTAGGATTATCACTAAATCAATAATGTAATGATTTTAATGCATCAACCAACTGACAATAATGATTTGTTGTAGTTAGGTGCTCTGAGTACTATTTTGCGATTGCGTCATAATGCTGAATGTGAAGAAATAATTCATCAATCTAATGAAGCCCTATCCTTAATTGGATATTGTGATCCCTTGCCTGGAAGGGGTGTACGAATTCTATCTATTGATGGAGGCGGCGTCAGAGGCGTTCTTGTAATTGAAATGCTGAAAAAATTAGAACAGCTTACTGGAAAACGAGTGTTTGAAATGTTCGATTATATTACAGGTGTTAGTACTGGCGCTATACTGGGATTTTCATTAGGTAAAAAATAATATAAATACATATCTTACACAATACAGATGTCATGGGTTAAATTAACCTTTGTTTATATATTATAATATTTTAATTACATATTAATATTTTATTAATGATAACAATAGTATTTTGTTTTATAAATATCAAAAGATATGAACAAATAAAAAACAATACCTTATTGCTGGTAAACCTAAAGATTATTATTTGTTTACATCTATTATTTATTTGTTCATATCTTTTATGATTGAAAGAGTAACATTGAATTTTCTTATAATGGAATTGTATTTCTTATATGCAACAGTGTCACAACCTAATAGAACCTTAGATGAGACATCACAACTATATAAAGAATTGAGCTCTAAAATGTTTAGTGCTAGCAGTCCTTTATCAGTATTATCTGGCACATCACGATTAGTTTGGAGTCATGCATATTATGATACTTCAATGTGGGAAGAATTTTTGAAGGAATATCTTGGGGATATTTCGATGATTAAAACTTCAAGGATACCAGGTTGCCCAAAGGTAAAAAACTGGATAAAAATTTTTGTTTCAAAAATTTTATTGTTGAAATCAAGATTAATAATTTTAGTTATCAGCCATATCATGCATAGCAAATGCTTCTGATACGGCAGCATTTGTGTTTAGGAACTACACCCTACCTTGGCGTATTCATTCAGTGTATTGTGGAACTCACAGTGCTAAAGTGTGGGAAGCTGTACGTGCAAGTAGTGCAGCTCCCACTTATTTTGAAGAATTTAAGCTTGGTGATTATCTTCATCAGGTTGGTAAATATGTTTTTTCTGATCCATACCGTAATATGGCTATTAAAATATGAATAGGCTTAATTTAGTCTTGATAATAATAATATTTTTTGTTATTTTCTAGGATGGTGGTATCATGTTTAATAACCCAACAGCTGTAGCTATACATGAAGCAAAATTACTTTGGCCTGGTTCTCCTATACAATGTGTGGTCAGTTTTGGGACTGGAAGAACTACACCTAGTTCTGAACAAATAAACTCAGAGAATTTAAGTACGTCATCATGGAAAACAAAATTTATAAAAATCCTCTGCAGTGCAACTGACACTGAAGGTAATTTTCATATATCTATTTATCACGAATGTAATTTTGAATATGATGAATAAATAATGGAGTAAAATATTAAAATAATGAAAATAGAAAATATATGCAATGTCAATAAATTTAAATCAATTAAAGCTTTAAAATGTATTTAGTAAAAGTTAATTTGTTTGATGGAACACGTATATCATTTCTGTCTTTTGATGTAAAAAAACTAATTAAATGAATATTTTGACCTTTCATAATTTTAATTTATTGTATTTCAGCCGTGCACACAACTCTAAATGATCTTTTACCATCTGGCACATATTTTCGATTCAATCCTTATTTAACTGAAATGCTTACAATGGTTGAAACTAGACCTGAAAAGGTAGCTCAATTAGAACTGGATGCTGCCATATATATGAGAAAAAATGAAGATAAATTTTTAAGGGTATGTCATTTATTATATTATCCATATATGATATAATAATAATATTATTGTTATATCACAGGCCGCAGAAGCATTGTGCCAAACAAAACCAGTTTCTCAAAAATTAACTGATTGGGTAAGGCTTCAAGCCCATGTATTAGGATTTCTATAAACTATAAAATGATTAAATCATAACACATTTAAATACTTTACATTATCATATAATTAATCTGTGATTTTTTTGTTATTTATTTAAATAAGAAAATTTAAAACTGTTATAAATTAATAAAAAATAAATAATATATTTTTAATTAATATTCAGAGCACTAAAATATCATTTTAATAAGATATAATCATTAGTATAATTATGATTTGCACCTCAATTATTTTCTACTTATATAATTTTGTACTATTGACACAGACTACATTACAATTTTTAAATAGAATATTGTAAACATTTTAAAAGTAATACAAATCTAATTTGAAAACTGAGAGATTTTATCATTTTTGTACATAAATTGCTGGTAATTTATATTTATTATAAATTTATAATTAATAAGTAATTGTAAACTGTATACTTGAGAATAATAATTTTTTGCGATTTCGCTAATTATTGTATAATGTTAAACGATTACGTATGAAACGATTAATAAGGTGTAAATGCCAGTTTGCAAAGTTGCACAAAAGTCCCAGATCTCTGAAAACAATCAACAAAAATTGTTAGATTCAGATCTGCAGCAAATTTTTTGATATCTAGCAGAAATAATTTCAAGTTTCCTAATTTCAAGACGTTACATTCATGTTGATATATAATATTTTGAAGAGAATTAAGTGTGCGATATTTAATTTAAAAATTGTGATTTGAATGATTATATAATGATGAAATATGATAGAATTGGCAAAGTATAATAGATATTTTAATATATTATTTTTTATATAGTTTGTAAAAAAATAAAAACTATAAACCACACCATAACATCAGAATTATATGTTTAGATTCTCTTCATAATAAGATAAAATTATTAGAAAATGAATTAGTCTAGCGAAATGATTCAAATGAGTTTATTAACATTCGGTTATGTATAATTCCATAAACTAAGTTTTATAAAGCACGTAGACATTCTAAATACAGCGAGTTTCCTTTCAAACAAAATATTTGTGAAAGATATACTTTTTATATCTATCAGTAAAACGAAATCTATTCATTTCTATCTATTAATTTATTTAAATCTAATGTACCTTCACAAATTTTGATAACGACAATTTTCAATAAAAGTCGCATACCTAATTTTGGAAGTAAATATTTTCTTAAACGTGCTTTCGAATATTTACATAATACATCGATTATTATTTGCTTAAGAAACGTTTTATTGCACATTATCTGTAATGTAAGGATATTAATTATTTATATGTTTCCTATGACGAATAGTAGTTTAATATGCATACTGCACTGTAATGTTTAGCAAATATTTTTATAGATGTTTTTTTCGCATTTTCGTGATAAATGTTATTATAAGTTTTTTTCCCATTTACTTAAGCGCCAAATTATAAAGCATATAAATACAACATGAATTTGAAAAATAAACGTTAGTTTTTTAAACCGTAAACACACAAAATGTTGGAAACAGTTATTGAAATCAATACATTGCAAAGTTTTTTTTACTATATCGGTATTATTTTAAATTTGAAAGTATATAATTGATATTATATTATAATAATTCGTATATTTTTTCTATCAACAGAAAGTATTCATCTCAAAGATTTATATTGTCTTGCTGTTTTCTGGTCATCTGCTTTTTCAATGAAATTACATATTCCGTTATTATTATTTTATTCAAAAAATAATGCATATTTATGCAAAGATGTATATTCGTCCATTGAAAGTTTTTGTAACGTATGTAAAAAAATAATTTATTAAATTTTTAAAAACTCAATCTTTCAAAATTTTAGGCTCATATTGTATTTTTGGAAGACATTGATACATTTTTAAATTGCTATGATCAAGCACTAATAAGATCAAATAGAAGAGGCAGTAACAGAAAGTTAATTATTTATGAAAAAAATAAAAAGCATTGTACAAATTCTACGGCTTTCAATAATAAAATATTTGAAGGTATTTTAAAAGTACTGATTTTTCATAAGTAGTTAAAATCTAAATAATAAATAATTTCACCTAAAAACAATTTTTACTCGAGATCATCTATGAGCGTCAGAAAATTATTGTAGATATTTAGTTAAAGTTATTGCGTCTTTAAGATGACAAAGTGCCAATTCTAAATTGCGTTTCATATCTTGGCTTTGTGAGGTATTTATTGCTTGTTATTATAGTATTTCGCCTCGTGTTAATTAAAATACAAATTGCTGGATCATCAATGAAATTTTATCAGCACCGATATTTTATTCAAAAAGCAGCTCATCCAAAAGCTTGTACTTTTCTAAAGGCAATCAACTCAATGACTCAGAATTTTCTGAGTTCACTTTGATTTATTTATATACATTTCCAACCAGCGCTGGACTTTATAGCAATTTTGTTTTTTTAAGTTGTTCCAGGCATTCTGCTAATTTGTGAAGTCAATTATACATTGTATTTAAGCACAAATAAATTTGTTGGCAAAGACAACATATTGGAACCAGTTTTATTAGATATCTATTATCAAAATCAAAGTTTTTTGTACAAGAATAATTTATTTCCTGATAAAATAACCAATTTTATGGGTAAGTACTTAAGCTGATGACTTAACTTTTCATATTGAATCGAAAAATTATTTTAATAAATACTAACTACAATGTAAACTATATAGTTATTACTATTTATTACACAGGTCGACCGTTTCGTGTTTCAACTTTCACTTACAAACCATATACTATAGTAAACCCCGTGATGAAAGGTAAGCCTTATAAAATTGCTCGTGGTGGAAATTTTGTAGTAAATAACGCTACCAAGGGAGCCCCAGAAGATTCTTTAGCATTGCTAGACGGAACAGAAGCTCGTCCATTTCATCTGTACTGTTTGAAATACAACTGCACTGTTGAGTTGCTAGATTGTAAGATTATTTTAGTATAATATATAATTTTTTGGCTTGATATTAGTTGCTGAAACTATCGTTGTTTTAAATGTTAGTTAAGTCGATTTAACTAACATCTATTATTTATATCCCTGAGTAGTACGGCTTGTCCACTCTTAACCTTTTTCTTCTTATCTTTTGGGTCATTTTTTTCTTATCGGAATCAAAAGATACCTACTGCTCTAAATTATCACCTTTCTATAAATTAAATCGGTTTGGTACTAAGGTTGTTCGGAAAGTTACTTCGTTTTTTTTATCACGGAGGATTTAACTGTGTATATATTTTTTGAGCCTAACATCACATTTGAGCGTATAATTATTATATGATTTATAAGCTTATATTTTTAGGTTTGTGTGTAAAAAATTATAATCAATTAGACGCAGTAGTTTTTAGAGGGTGCCACCTACGGACATATTTTATACTCTTTTTCTATAGGAAAAGTGGAAATACTGTTTAAGTCAAAATGAAATTGACCAATGTGTGCGGAAATGACGTGTTGATCGTACGACGGTGCCAAAATTGGTTTGCTAAATTTCATTCCTGGTATTTTGATGTCTAAGATGCACCAAGTCCAAAAAGTACGGTTGAAGCTGATAAAGACGCGAGAAAGGCATTAGTTGTTGAAAACCGATGAATAACAATACAGGAAATCCCACTGAGTAAAAATTTATCAAATTTAGCAGTTCATGACCACTCAAAAGGTCTGGGATTTTCCTCGAAACTCAGTGTATGGTTTTCATAGAAAGAAACGTGTGTCGTCGCACTGGCGTCCGCAATTCGCCTTTGAAATGCCTTGAAAATTATCAGGTTTTGAAGCAATGTCAAATGGGATGTAGAGAATACAATACACGCAATTGCTCATAAAACAAAAAAGAAGAACCTGCTCAAAACAGGTGCGAAGCTGAAATTTGCCATTAAAAGGTGATGCACAGTGATGGTGTTGTCGAAATCATTTTTGGGCCGGAACGCGTTCCGGCAAAAGAAATTTACAAAATCGCTACATACAGAAAATGATTTAATAAGTGAATTGCATAAATTATAATTCAACTGATTTTTATTAAATGTTCCTATTATTGTAATAAACATACATATATATGTGCATTTATATTCAAAATGGGTTTTGTAATAATTTTTGTTTTTTTTTTCCTTTTCGAACGGAACCGGAACAAACATGAGAACCGATTTTTGAACCGGTTTTTGAATTTTAGCGTTCCGGCAAAAAAATTATTAGCACAATACCACTGGTGATGCAGTATGTTTGGTAAGATTTTAGAGGAGTTGTCCATTTTTCAGCTTTTCTAGGATAACACAACGGCTAATTCGGATGCCTTGTCATCAGCTGGATGAACTTTAAATGATATTCTTCAATAGAAAAAGTCAGAATTAACCCACAAGCAAGGTATATATAATCTAGCATCAAGACGACGAAAGACTCACATAAGTTTGGTCAATCGACAAAAGCTTTTGAAGCTTGAATGGGACCCAATTCATATTCCATCATATCCTACAGACCTACCATCACCGGATCATTATTTATTCCGGCCACTAGAAAAAATTTTACCTCAAATCAACCTATCAAAAAGCACTTTGATCAGTTTTTTTGACAATAACGACCAAAACATTTATTATTACGGAATTATGCTAATATCAGAAATATGACAAAAGATGTTCGATCAAAACTGCCAATAAATATAATTTATTAAAATAGTTGTTTATTGTACGAAAATTACGTGTCAAAATGTCTATGAAAACGAAGTTATTTTCCGAACAACCCAATAGAAATATTCTTGAAATAAATAATTGATATGGCAATAACATCGCGTTTTACATACACAATTTTTTTTCAACATTAGGTTTGAAAATGTTTTATTCATTTAGACGAGTTTGAAAAGTGGGGAGACATTTGGGACGAAAAGAATGGGACAGGACTACTTGGAGCGGTTCTTAGACGCGAAGCAGACGCCGGAGTAGCAGCGCTTTGTCTCTGGTATCATGAGTATCATTACTTAGATCTGGCTGCTCCACTTACTCGCACAGGCGTAACTTGTGTTGCTCCAAAACCAAGGTGTGCATTTTTTAAAGCTCGGTAATTATAAATGGTTATCATAAACCTTTCTAATTTTTTTATAGGCGATTATCTGCGTTCTTTATGCCGGCTCAACCATTCTCCAAAGCATTGTGGATTTGTGTTTTTATAGGATTTGTATCTTCCAGTCTGATGATCTGCGTAGCTCGGGGTAAAGATCGGCATGATCGATTAGGTCATGCTTTTATGACTGTAATGGGAATTTATCTTGCGCAAGGAGCAATGGGAAAGGTTGGAGGAGGTGCGAGGGTTGGAATCATTGCACTTTTCTTAGTTTGCGGTTTAATACTTGGCTTAATATATGGGGCAGGTTTTAGCAGCATTATGACCGTACCCAGGTAAGTAATAAGATTTTAATTATAGTACATGGTAGTTAATTTAATTAACTAACAAACAATTATTAACGATTATTTTGAGTTTATACTACTCGGATAACGCTAAATACTGTCTAGACTCCAGATAGTATTTGTTATTCTTGATAAAGTTTAACACATCTTATCATAAATTTAATATTGTGAATTGTTATTAAATTTTTTGTCTTTTTACCTCTTCAGTGTAATGTGACTTATTTAAATTTGAATGACTTTGCACCACAAAGACTTTTGCTATAGGATGGGATTAGGGTTTATACAAAAACCGACATTTCAAAAAACCGGTTTTCGAATTTTAATTTTATTAAAAAACCGGTTTTAACCGGTTTTCGAATTTTATATAAAAAATAAATTTTTGCTCGAATATTCTGTAATTTATCCGCAAATTTAGGGCGATTTATAGCAGTATTTGACTGATTTTATTTATTGTTCAATTTTATGGATAGTAAACAAAATTATTTTAATTTTAATTAGTAGAACTAAAAATTTATATAATAGAATGAAAATATTTTTATGATAGTGAAAGGAAAGTTTTCGAATAAATAAAAATAATACATTTCTAAATGAAAAAAATCATTAAATTAAAAAAAAAAAAAATAAATAAATAAATATTAAATACATATTGATACATACTAGTTAATATCAATTTTAGTTTTAAAAACAATTAAGCTAAACTCGGGTATCGTCTGTTCCGAACAATTTTAGTTAATTAATTTTAAACATTCTGATTGTTTTTTTGTTTAATAAAATATGATTTCAAAAAACTGAGAACGTCTATCGAATTTCTACTTAGACGTGTTCTTTCTTTACTCACAAAATTTCCTGAAATAGAAAATACTCTCATACTTGCGACCAAATTATGCTTAATTGTTTTTGGAGCCTGATATAATAATTCTAAGTTGTTTGTTCTTTTATTTGTGGCTTCTGGGGTTTAAAACTCTTTTTTTAAGTTTGAGCAGAGCAAGTTACTTCTTCTAGAAGAAATCACACTGGTATAAAAATCTAAATTAATATATACAAAACCTTTCTGGTAACCATTGCAGACTGATAAGATATCCAATGCTATTGAACCTATATGATTTCAAGAATCAAAATGCTTTCATCTATCTTTTATATTTGGCTATATTTGTCATTTTTTATTTATACAGTGAATACCGACTTTTTTCACTAAAAACCGGTTTTCGAATTTCATAATTTTCGCAAAAAAACGGTTTTTAAAACCGACAAACCCTAGATGGGATGATGTACCACGAATGTAATGATGTACGCTTATAAAAACTATGTTTTCTTACGTTTAGATTTGAACCGCCAATAGACTCGGTTCATGATTTACGAGTTAGCCAACTTCTTTGGGGATCGACTGGGACTGGTTTCATTTTTTCAATGCTTGGCGACGATCGTGTTAGTATATTTCTAGTCATTCTGAAGTTTACTACAGTAAATATTTACTATCATCATGTATATATATATATATATATATATATATATATATATATATATATCTATTATTTCAGGATGATATAGTAGCACTTTTATCCACATTCCGCGTGCTAACAGAAGAAGAGCTTCACAAAGTGTCTTATGATCGACATTATGCTTTGGGTGTGGAGAGATTGCCAGCAGGTAATTGTGAAGAACATTGAAATTAAAACTTAGGTTTACAAATACTTTTGTAAGTGTACAGAAGATAATTTTAATTTTAAAATAATCAATATTAAATGAATACTTTATTTTAGCCAATAACTCCTTCTTACATTTCTATGATGTATATAATTTTTAGTATCAAGACATTCATGTCAGTAAAGAACCAAGACGCCGATAGATCATCCAGTCTGTAGTCGAATGTTCAAAATGAACAATCATAATATTTAATAAGTCGATGATTGTCTTTGAATTGATAACTGGTAATCACTTGCTGTTATTTCTGGTCTCAAAATTTTTTCAGGTCACTTTGCGGTTGGTGATTATCTTACGGCAAATGCAGTGCCCGGCTTGAGATTGATGCGGGATGATATTTACTGGGATCACGTTGTTGCTATGATGCCAAAAAGTAACGTTCATACGCCCAATTTAAATAAATTGACTCAAGAAATTGTACAAGCAGGATTAGTTCATGTGTGGGAAATGCAGGTGTATTTTTAAGAGTAGTTATCATAATTATGAATAATAGATTTAAATTTATTTCATCTTTTACATGTTATTTTCACATTTAAACTATATATATTTACAGTATTAATTATATAATATTATATAATATTACATGTTAATAAATACATATGTATATTTATTAACTTCCCGTAGGATTGGTTATAGCAATCGCAAAAAATCGAAAATGAAAATTTTGCTAAATTTACATTTGAAGGCCTTCTTTTATCTATGCTCTGAATATCTTGGCATACCTTAGAAAAAATGAATGTATGTGTGTGTGTGAGTGTGAGTGGGTATTGATATGTAATGAACCTTATTTTATAAAAATATAATATTATTGTAAGGGTTTCATACCCCTGGCGCATTGCAGCAGGTTGTGTAACCCTGACGGGTACCGTTACTTGAACCACTATAAAACTGGTGCAATGCGTTCTTATATATATATATATATATATATATATATATATATATATATATATATTCGAGCAAACCCGACGAACTCCGTTTCGCCACCAGATGGTTTTGTGAGAAAGATGAAGAAATTTTTTGTTTGTTTTATATTTGAAAAGGAAAAATTTGATTTTATTACACAACAGTAATGAATTTATTTCGATTACAAAAATGAAGTGTTTTTTAGTTGAACTTCTCTAGGTAAATGAAAGTGAATCCGCAAATTATCCGTTTCATTGAAGTGCTCTTTGGTAACGTTTAATGTCATGCACACTAATTTTCTATAGCTATAAACCTTGCGGAGCCCGAGACCTTTCCAACGAATGCAAAATTGTCGAAATCAGTTGGTGCGTTCTGGAGTTATATCGTCAGGAAAGAAAACCCGACTTATTTTTATATATATATGTAGATAATCTATTTGAAACTATTTGAAATTATTTAAAACTAAATTATTGATTATTTTCATTACTCGAATTTTTAATTACGGTGTGTGAAGTTCCAGCAATTTGCATTAAGGCACGATGCCCGACTTATTTTTATATATATGTAGATATATATATATATATATATATATATATATATATCTTAATAATTGCAGGTATCAAATGCCCATCAAGATTTCAAAGTGCAACAAGGGATACTTCTTTCATTGCAAAGTAAAACTTCACAAGGGGAACCGGAAATATTAACTTTAGAACATTTAATTGGCGTATTTACTATATGGGGACTAGGTGTTGTAATATCTTTGATATGTTTTGTGTTTGAAATAATTCGAAGTAAGTCTATGCTAAAGAAAATGTTTTAAACTTTAAACCTTGAATTATTATATTATAAAAAATATTACTGATCAAATTAATTGTGCCTGGTTGTCTAAACCAAAACCTAGCACAATAGTATTTTCCTTGTTAATCTGATATGTTAGTATAAATTGACTGTTAATGTGAACATTTTCAACGTCTTTTAACCTTATGAATACCTTAGAGATAGTAACACTAAGATCTTTTTTTTTAAATAAAATGACTTTCATTTATGAACTCTTAATTTATTTAATACTGTGAATTATAATAACTTTAATTCAATACAGAATGTTACATGCTTAATTCTCTTATTATTAATTAATCAGTAATATTCCCTTATTAATCAGTAATATTTCTACAAATTTTCTTGTTTTCAATTCTCATAGCCCCACTATAAATGCAATGAACTGCAATATTTGGAGTATAAGGCAGTCCTGGAAGAAGCTGAAACATTATATAAAACAATCAATAGCCAATAATAACGACATTGGACAATAAAATGGAAGATAACAAGAAGTATTTTATTCATTTACCTTTGGGGTGAGTAAAAAGTACTGTGCAACATTTTGTTTGTTAGTTACTTTTGTGAGTAATTCAAAGACTCTTCTTTCATTTATGGGATCCATTCCTTGATTAATTTCATCTACACATCGAAATGGAACGGTCGTTAATTCTTGAAGGGATAATAAATAAATGGCTGTGGCAACAGCCCGTTCACCTCCAGATTGAGTATACCGATTTAGTTCTTGCATTACTTCGGCGCCTCGAAATCGAACCTTAATACTTACACCATATTCTTTATAGTCATCCTTGAAAAATTAATAATAATATTAGTAAAGCAGATTTTTTTAAGGTAAAAATTTGCCTATAATAAGACAAATTTAACCCCTTAATTTACAATGACAAGCGTAGCCCATGTATGATAATCGGACCAAAAGCAAATATTACGCATTACGGGCATGATTAGGTACGGTGATTTCGAATATTACATAATATTTATACAAACTATATATTACAATATATTTATAAAACACAAAATTATTTTTATTTTTCTGATAAACTGTACGCTATGTGGAAAAATAGACACGACCACGCGTCAGCTTGCATAACTTTGGCCCAACATTTTTGAATATAAATCGTAAGTTAAGGGGTTACTTATTAACTACTTATTTAAATATTTATAATTAATATAGTATAAATATTTCATTTCATAATAAATCGCAAAATACTGTTTAAAAGAAATATTTTTAACATAGAAATGCTTTAAAAAAAGGAAAATAATAATAAAAATTACCGGATCAGCAGGAGAGATCAAAGTAACATCGCCAGCACACTGCAAATGATTCATATATCTACCAAAATTAGTTCCAATTTTCTCAATCAAACTTGTAATATTTTCTTTCCACACTTTTCCCAATTCATTCGATTGTCTGATATTGTCCTGTATCAGAGCCGTATTTCTTTCTAAAGTTTCAGATGTACTTCCAATGAGTTCCCTTCTTTGATGATAGTCTTGATAATCCTTAAAATATAATTATTACTTTCACTTTATTTTCACATTTTCACATATTTAGAAGCAAGTTTTACTTACATTACCGTCTCCTACATTCAACATATCCGCTCGGCTTTGTTGTTCCTCAATCATATCTTCTAAAACATCAATTTCTGTTGGCATTTTATTAAATTTATTTTTATTAGGAAAATTCTCATCATCTGGAGCTAAATTATCAGAAAAAATGAAAGCTTCATTGTATTTATCTTTTGCTTCGGTTTTTCTGTGTTCATAGACCTTCATTATGTTATGTAAAGTTTTCTGAAAATTATTTCAAAATATAAACAATATACATATATTATAAATAAATACAACCTGCACATATGTATTAACAAAAATTTATAGGATTTAAAGAATACCTCTGCACTATTTAAATCATCTTTTGCTTGTAAGTAAATCGATTGCTTCATGTTCATAGTTTCTTTAAGTTGTCTTACTAATATGTTATCATTTGCTTGTTCATGATTTTTTTGAATCAATAAATTGATTCTTTTTTGCACATCTTTATGTAATGTTTTTATTTTTGTAAGTGTTTGTAATAAAAAATCATCCAATTCTTTCTGTTCGATCTTCATGTCAAATGTCTCTGATTGTAAGGATTTTAACTTTATTTCCTCTATTTTTATTTTATTTGATATAATATCCAAATTTTGTTTCTGTTCTTGAAGTCCTTTACGCTTTTCAGAAATTTGATCTCGTTTCACACATAATTCGTGCATAGAAGTTTCAATCATAGATATGTTGTTTCTCAAGTCATCACTGGATCTAACTAATAATTGTAATCTGAAAATAAATTTTAAAAATTTAAGCTGGATATCAGAAGGCAACTAATAATGTATAACTAAATACTAATCTTACTTCTGCTTATATTTCTGCTCTAATGTTTTATCAACATTGTGGTTTAAAAGATTTCTATTTCCTATTGGTACTGTAGTAACTGATTTTTCTCCACTGTATGATGATATTATTGTTGTATATCGAAATGTATCTAGAAAATGAACACATATACACAAGCTGCAAGCTTGATAATGATCTTAATCATAAATATATAATATATACCCGAATAAAACAATTGTATTGATGAAGGGACTTCATCAGCAATCTTATCAGTTTGTGCTGTGCCAATCGGTATATTATGAACTTGATATGTTTTACAAAGAAATGATAACACTGGTTCCGGTCCATCAATCAACTGCAGCATGTAGGAAAAAAATCCGTATCTCCTGCAAGTTCATTATACATGACTATTTTTAGAATCCTAACAATATTTTTTAATTATAAAGCCCTTACTTTATATTGTCAATAGATAATCTAGGAACATAAGTTTTCAAATAACCTGGAGGTGAACACACTGCCGACACTTTAAGTTTCATTTCCATTTTAACTGTTTTAACAAATAATTTCATATCTTCAATATTTTCACAAGTAAAAGCTAATAAATCTCTTTTGCTAATAGTATTTTCCAGAAATTTAGAATGCTCTGGGTTCTTCACATTTAACTGTAACACAATAATAAGCTTATAAAATGTTCTGTGAACATATTAGAAAGTATGTAAACAAAAAATTCAATATATTTCAAAACATTCCTAGCATTGTTAAGGCAATTTAAACTTGTTAAAAACTTGAAAATTATTGAAAATTTTGAAAGCAAATATTTTTTTAAAGATTTTTTTTGCAATTTTTAATGCTTTTTGAAACTCATGGTTTTTGGTAACATTTGTTTTTTTTAATTCTGAAAACAATAGAATTATTAACACCCGAAGGTTAAGTTATTGTAATCGTCCAAAAATCAAAATTGAAAGTTTCTACATTTCTTCACGTTTTCAAGTTTTCTGAACATTTTGGGATACCTCAGAAAAAATTGATGTGGGTGTGTGTGTATGTATGAATGTATGAATACAATTTTTTGTTCACGTTTTCGGGCGCACGGATCAACTGATTTGAATGGTTCAAAAAACATTCGATTCCTATTGATAGGGAGATGTGCTGATTTGTTTTTGGCAGAGGCAGGTCCAGCCGTTACGGAGATAGGGAGCAAAGACTGCAGAAAATACAAATCGAGTTTTTGAGAGAACAGAGTATCCAATTTGAATGAAAAGACATTCAATTTCTAATTATTGGGAGAAGAGGTAATTAGTTTTTGGCAAAGGTAGGTCTGGCCATTTCGAAAATACAAAGCTAAATTTGCAAAAAATTGCAGTTTTTGAGAGAACTAAGCGTCCGATTTTAATGATTTAAAGAACTTTCTGCTTGTATCAACAGAACAATTGCTTTTAAAAAAAATTGTTTCAATTTTTTTTGTATATGCACATATAGACACATTTTTTCTGAAGTATGCCAAAATGTTCAAATGTATAAAAATTTTCATTTTCGATTTTTTCGCGATTGTTGTAACTTACCCTACGGGATTTAAATAAAAAAAATTAATATATCTTGTAAAACAAAAAAAAATCGTAAAACCTCAATTAATATAGGGGGATATATTTTATTCTGAAACTTGTTCTCATTTTCTCTCAGCCACAATGTTGCCTTGTAAGCGTCTTCATTACTTTCCCTAAGCACATTTAATCTTCTTGAAGCAACATTTTCAATTTCAGCTAACTTGTTTTTACAATATCTAATTTCTGCATTTACAGTATCATTCAATTCATTAAGTATTGTGGTTCTTTTCGAGTTCAGATCATCCAATTTTTTGCTATAAATGGATGATTCTTGATTTAATGCATTAATTTCTTCCAATATTTTTTCACCTGAAATATAACTCTAATGAATTTCACAGCTATTTAAACAATCTAAAATATTAATACAATTCTTACGAGGTGTGGATTTTTTGACTTGGGTGTTCATTGAGTTAATTAGGTGCATAGAATGTGATATTTCCTTATCCCTTGTTTCTGCTAGCGTTTGTCTTTTTAAAAAATCTTCTTTCTTCTTTTTGATTGCTTCTTCAAATTGTTCAGAAGATTCATGCAAATCTTTTATCTTATTAATATCAAATTGTACTAATCGCCTCTATAATGAAAATTATATTATATATATATATATATATATATGTTAATCTACAGAGAACATTTAACTTGAGTTACCATTTTTGAAACACCTTCATTTTTTTTAGATAATTGTGTTTCGGCAGCTTTATAATCGTTTTCTGATTTTTCCACTTCTTTAGAAATGCGTTTTATTTCAGTTTGAGCTAGTTTTTGATCCTTCTTTACAGACTCAAATTGAGCCCTATGTTTCTCATATATAAGCCACAACAATCTGATTTTATACATTTTAATAGATTCTTTAATTTCATTTTGCTTTTCTATATTAGTGACGATGTTTTGAATTCTAATAAAATATACATAAAATAAGTTAACATCTAGAATAAAAAATGTATATATATATACATATATATATATATATATATGCATATAAATATATATATATATATATATATATAAATATATATATATATGATGTATCGCCCTCAAGAACTCACTCATATATTTCAACATCAAAATTAACTACTATATATATATATATATATATATATATATATATATATATTGTTTTTTTTTTTATTTAATACCTAGCATTTAATTGTTTGGCACTATTAAGCTGAGCTTCCAGTTTCTCTGAATCATCTTTTATTTTTACATAACTTTCTCGGAGTTTTATTAATTTTGTATGCATTTCCAGCAAATCACAATCTGACACAGATCTTTCAGTACTTAGTAAAAGCTCTTGACAATTCAGTTTAGCAAAATCCTGTACTCTGTCTTGCGGAAGAAATTGGCAAAGATTATCAATCTAAAATTTAAAAACGTTTTACAGATCAAATTAAATTATTAACTATAAAAATTATGATACTTTGATATGCTTTTCAAAATTGTAGTAAAAAACATTCATTTCGTGCATAATTTCAACTCAAAAAATTTTCTGAAATAGAAAATACTCTATCACTTGCAACAGAACTAGGCTTAATAGTTTTTAAAGCGTGATATACTAATTTTGAAAATTTTGTTCTTTCATTTGTGGCTTCTAGGACTAAAGACTTTTTTTTTTAAGTTTGAATAGAGCAATTCACACCTTCAACAAGAAGTCGCATTGATCTAAAAATTAATATATACATTGATATAATAATCAAAATTAACATATACATTAGAGTAACACAGAACCTTTCTGGGAACTATAACAGATTGATATGATTCCAAATTTTATCGAACCGATATGATTCCAAGTATCAAAAAGCTTGCTACCTTCTATTATATTTGTCATTTTCAATTTATACTGTAAAAACTGTTTTTTTCTACTGAAAACAACGGTTTTCAAAGTTCATAATTTTTGTCAAAAAGCCGGTTTTCAAAACCGGTTTTTGAAAACTAACAAACCCTAGTGTCCAGTATACATATGAAAAAAATATATTTTCCTGTGGTAATTTAACAAGGAGTGTAATATAACAAGCTATATTAAATGTCTATAACCCTGTCAAATAGGACTTCCTAAAACTCTTAATGATTATATTCATTAATTAAACTAACCTGTATATTAAACTTTTTGCAGAGTTCTCGAACATCTCCAATACTTTTATGTTTTCCATCAATTTCAAATTGATATGACCCAGTAACTGCAATAGTTCTTTTTACTACCACATTTCGTGGAGAATCTGCTAATTCTATTTCAATGTCAGCTTTTTGTTGCCCTTGCTTAACATAAGCAGCTAGCTATAATAATAAATATTTGAAACATTTATACATATGTGTGTATATATTTTATTCAATGATTCAAGTAAAAGATTCTTTCTATATTATCTGAGAATATATGTGTTTAAACTTACTGTTGTAGCTCTTCCTATTACACTTAGATTACCTCCTAAGCCAATAACTAATGCAGATAACAATGTTGATTTTCCTGTTCCATTAGGACCCATTATTAAATTTAAACTAGGGCCTGGATACATTAAAACATCTCCATAAGTTCTAAAATGAGTATTGAAAGTTAGAAACCGACAAATACTTTATAAGACATTATAAAATATAATATTTACTGACACGAAATTTTCTAGTTTTATTCGGATTATAGTTCCTGTTTTACACTTCATTTTCATCTTTTTATCCTTTAGTTATGAAATTTATTCAATTTAAGTAATTCTAGACAATATAATAAGTAATCCTCGTAATGACAGTTATCGTAAACAACGTCAGTAACTGTCTTATATTGTCTTAACCTTACAAATACAAAACCAAAGCGTTGTGACAATCATAGATAAGTAAACATGGATAAGTTCGATAAGTAAACATAAATGACAATCCTAGACTTTTTTTGTTTTATTTTGTTTACTTATCTACGATCCTAGACAATAATTTAGAATAAGATGTATTCATTCTAGCCAATATAATAATATTGGTATTGGTGCATTGGTGGGTAGTATATTGTTATGGGGGTAGTATATTGTTATGGTATATTGTCTAGGGGGTATTCATGATGACAATTCCACGTCGGTGTTGAAGTTTAGTTGTGTTGATTTCTGGTAAGTTATTTATTATACATTCTCATTATTGCCCGTTATTATAATATTTATTAGTAAGTTTTTTATATTTTTAACTTCCCGTAGGATAATTTGTAGTAATCTCAAAAAAATCTAAAATGAAAATTTTTATATATCTTCACGTTTCAAAGGTTTTGGCATACCTTATGAAACAATCGATGTATATGTGTGTGTTTTTTTTAAATTCCCGTAGGGTAAGTTATTGCAATCGTCCAAAAATCGAAATTGAAATTTTTTACATTGCTCGGCGTTTTGAAGCTTTTGAAGATTTTGGCATACCTCAGAAAAAATGGATGTGTGTGTGTATGTATGTATGGATACAATTTTTCGTCCACGTTTTCGGGCGCACGGATCTACCGATTTTGAATTGTTCAGAAAACCTACTTTTCCTATTGATAAGGAGATGAGCTCAGTGGCGTCGGAACCAAATTTTTGATGGGTGGGCTCGTTTTTTTTTTTTTTTTAGATAGGACAGGCAGTGGTCTCGTTTTTTTTTTTTAGAGATATTACTCCATATAATTTTTTTTTGAAATTGATGGGTGGGCTGAGCCCCCCATCAAAATTCATGGGTGGGCTCAAGCCCACGCAGCCCACGCGGTTCCGACGCCACGTATCTCCGAAACGGGTAGACCTGCTTTTGCCAAAAACTAATCAGCTCATCATGAAGGTCTACCCGTTTCGGAGATACGGAGCAAAGAGTGCAGAAAATAGAAATCGAGTTTTTGAGAGTTTGGATCATCCGAATTGAATGATCCAAAAAACATTCAATTCGTAATGACGGGGAGAAGTGGTGGTTAGTTTTTCGCAAAGGTCCAGCGGTTTCAGAGAGGTAAACGTGCAAAAAATGGCAGTTTTTGAATGAACTAAGCGTCCGATTTGAAAGATTCAAAAAACTTTCTGCTTGTTTTAACAAAATAGTTGCTTTTGGAAAAAAAATTGTTTAAATTTTTTTTTCCAGAATTTTTTTTTATCAAAAAATATTTTTTTTTGTATATAGAAAATAATTCTGATTTTAATTGTAATTTTGACTTAAGTTCTAATATACTTTAAACAAATATTTTCTATTTTGCAATTCAGTTCATATAATTCTTATAAATATTAGACAATGTTACAGTATTTATTTATAATAATCTATTTGAAAATATTTAATATTTCTCGAACATTTTGCTACGGTACGGAAAGTTCCAGCAATTTGCCTTAATACCACACCACTAGTTTTTTTTTTGGTATAGCGAAGGAAATGCCTTTATGCATCCCAGCCTGACATATGTATGTGTGTGTGTGTGTGCGCGCGGATACAAATTTTTGTCGACGCGGGAACTCCGATCAACCGATTTTTGTTGATCGGATTAACCTATTTGAATAATTTAAAAAGCATTTGATTCGTATTGATAATGAGACGCGCTGATTAATTTTTAGCGAAGGCAGGTCTAGCCGTTCTGAAGATACGGGGCAAAAAGTGCCGAAAACGGTAACTGTTTTCAAGAGAACAGAGTTTCCAATTCAAAAAACATTTTTCTTGTATTGACAAAATGAACAATTGATTAAATTTTTGGGCAGGCAGGTCCAGTTATGGACTCTTAATAAGCTAAAAAAAATATCATTTGGCGGTCAAAAATGTTTATTGGACATATGTACATCAAACTATCAGATATTTTATAGAGATTTTAATAATGTGTACACATTTTGTGTAAATTTTTTTGGGTTCCGATCCAAAATTTCTAATTACTGTACGGAAAATTCCAGTAATTTGCTTTAAGGCACGATGCCATGCACCCCGCTAGCTATATTTTACATCATTGCATTATTCCATGTTGTATGCTTAATTTAAATCATGTTTGTGATTTTAAAAGTGACAACTATTCCGGATTCCCAACTAGACAAAGAAATCATTTTTCAGATTTCATATATTTCTGGCTTTTGTTTGACTCGCTATATTGATGATTTAATCACAGGATCACAGGCTTATCCAAAAATATTTTTTTTATATACAATGCAAGAAGGTTGCCAGGCAGTGTTTACATTTTGTGTTGAGTTTCAATTTGATCATTCAAATGTTTTTTGACTTATATATTTGCACCAACTTACAGAGATAAAGTTATTAACTAATAAGTTTGAAAAATTGAAAATAGAGTTAGAGGCATATACTCTTCTTTTATCTATGGTTAGAGGTGAATAATTATAAAAATAAACAAAATCCACCGATCGTCTAGAAAAACTAACCAACGTGAGTTCCTATTATTATGTTTTTTTATCTATGGTTCCTATCGAGTTACATCCGATGGCTTATAACTTTTTGAAATCGGTGCGGTCGTTTTTTTAAAAAAACGTTTATGAAAGATAAAAAATCGTACCACAAACACACACACAGCTTGATTTGAATAGTTGGGAAAATATAAATTTCTCTTACGGTATAAAAGATATTGAACTGTTTCTTACTTTATAGTATGAATCTGCCAAAGCCTATAGAAATTTAAACAAACAATATTAATAATAATCCCAGCAATAACATAATATGAAAGGCAAAGGCAATAAATCAAATTTTTTAACTTTCCGAAGGAGAAGTTTGCTTTCGTAAAAAAAAATCCAATTCGCTAATTTTATGTTTTCTCGACTCTTCAAATCATTCTGAATAGAATATCAAATTTGGAAAAAGTATGTGTGTGTGAACAGATTTTTTGTCGTAAATCGACGTTTTCTCAAAAACGGCTGGACCGATTTCAAAAATTTAAAAGCCATTCGATGCACCTCAATGGGGATTATTGTTTGTCAGTTTTGTGCGAAGATTGGCCAAGCCGTTTCTTTATAAATAGCAGAAAAGTGAAAAATTTATCGTCCACGTTTTAGCCTGCAATTCTGAATCGATTTTGAAAGTTTAATAACCCTTCGGAAGATATTGGTTGGGAATCGTGTTGATTAGTTTTTGGTAAAGATTGGCCGGGCCATTTTCTTGTAATAAAGTGTTAAAAAAATTCCATGATTTTTTTAATTTTTTTACGGTAGATACCCATAGTCTTATAGATCATACTAGAAGATTACGGTCCTACGACAACTCGTTTAACTTTAAAAATTCGTCAAAGTTTGCAAAACAAGTATCGTTTTTTTGGCGTTTGTCAAAATTAGACATTTCATCGACGTTTGCACAAAAATGCCTGAACTGAAAAACGATAAGCCTCATCGAGATACATCAAATGGCTTTTAACATTTGATGTATCTCGATGAGGCTTATCGTTTTTCAGTTTTGTGCGACTATCGAGCCGTTTCTTTGTAATTTGGAAAAAAGTGTTAAACTTTTCGTCCACATTTAAGCTCATACTACCGAATCGATTTTCAAAAATCAAAAACCGTTCGAAAGATATTAGTTGGAAATGATACTGATTAGTTTTAGGTGAAAGTCTACCGAGCCGTTTTCTTGTTGAAATGGTATATTCTAAAGTAGAATATTTTTTAATTTTCATCACAGATGTTTTTATTTTACAGGGAATCTTAAAGCCTGAGTCTGGCCTATTATATATATATATATATATATATATATATATATATATATATATATATAGTAGAGGGAATTGATGATTAAGAATTCATTGGACAAAGTCTTTCTAATGGAACGAACGGAATTATCACGATTGGTGAGCTTTCAGCGTTGTCGTATCACTGCAAAACAACGAAATCTTTGATTGCAGCATCGAAATTTTGTTAAAAAATCGATTTGTTTTCGTTGAATGGATTTTGGGACGCTGATTTCAAAAATGCTCTCTGTTTTTGGATAAATCTACACATATCCCGCGAAAAATCGAAATCTTTGCTTGCAAAATCAATTTTTTTAATTCGAGTTTTTCTTCGCGATTTTTAAAATGTTTTGATTGTTTTTGATAGATTTGGAGTCGAAAAATGGAAATCTTTGGTTGCGAAATCAAAATTTTACTAATGAAATAAAAAATTTTTTTCGCGATTTTTAAAATGTTTTGACCGAATCTGATAGTTTTCGAGGCGCTGATTCCGAATATGGAATCAGTTTTTGGAAAAAAAATTTCTTCTGCCCCTACGACCAACTTGAAGTTTGAAAAATTGACAACTTTGAAGCTGATTTTAACTATGAAGACGATGATAAATTTGTAATTTTTTTGGTTTGGTATAAAGATTGTACTTTAGTCTACACAAAGCATTAATTAAAATTATTACTTTCATTCATTAAGGGCCTTAAAATTGCATTTGAATGTCACGATTTTGGCCAATTTTGGCTGCCCCTGATAGACCGGTTTTTTAAGGAAAAAATAATAAGATTTTTAAATTACACCAAAGTAGGTTTGGTTTACTGCTAACCAGGCGTAAATATGAATTTATTAAAAATTATCCTTCTCCTACTATTTCTTATCTTTTATATATATATATATATATATATATATATATATATATATATATATGCGTATATATATATACATTTATATTTATATATATGCACTATATATTATGTCGATTTTTGTAATGCTGACACTCAATAAATTTAATTATTTATCTATATGTCTTATTTATTTACAGAGTTAGAAAAATTATTGAATATAAATTTTTTTCAGATAAATGGGGTTCGATCTGTCGATCCTTGAATTGCTATTCTGGCCTAAACCGTATCTTTACGA